GCGGGGCCAGCCACAGACTCAGTTTCCCCTTGCCCCACTGGCAGCAACACTGAGCATCAGCAGCCAGATGCTGCTCCTCACCTGCCATGGCCCCATCACATCCCCTGGCCTGCCTGCTGGGTCCTCAGCCAGGCCCCATGGGATCCCGCCAGTCCGCCCGTTCTGCCTGGCATCCCCAGCAGTGGGCTTGAGATGGACACATCCAGGTCAGATAGCATTAATTGCCCTCTCCTACCCCTCCACACCTCTGTGCTGGGTCAGCACCTCATCCTGCCCTGCTGCACCTGGGTGGATCAACTTCCCCAAATCTGGAAATCCATGCATTTTTGTGAAAGTGATATGCCATGGGTGCATGAGCATGAAGGAGTCACGTGGAGAGCAGGAGCTCAGAAAGGGATTTGGGGTCCTCGTGGCAGCCAAGACTAAGAAACAAACACATAAAAGGTAGCCCGATCACGTCCCCACAGTTATAGTGTTTCCTCTTTTTTCTACTGCAGGCCTTTTCTTTCAGGTGTGGCCAGTGATGCTTGATCAGCTTTGGATTGTGAGATTGAAGGTCACCCAAAACCTTGGGCTTGTTTGCCCTTAGAGTGAATCAGAATGGAGGGCAGGGTCACCTGTATGCTTGTTTTTTCATGAGTTGGATAGAAATGTAGGCTCTCTAGCATTGGTGGTTCAATGGCAGAATTCCTGCCTCCCATGCAGGAGACCTGGGTTCAATTCCCAGCCAATGCAGAGGCTATAGGTGAACGTTTTGCAGGCCTTAACAACCTGATCTAGTTCTCCATAAAGGAGCTTGTTGGTAACTTCCACCGCAGCATGGAGGCGGATCGTCCAGATTATATCGGCTCTGGCATGTGTCTTTCAAAGCATGGCCCCAACCGTCTGGCACCCGGTGCCACCTGTACCACAATGTGTGGGCCTGGCCCAGGCCAGCCTGGTGTCGTGCACGTTTGGGCATGAGCGGGCTGATTTTGCTCTCACCTGGGGTCCTGACATCACTAGCAGGGGCGGCACACCCTGGGGCGGGCTCTGTGGAGGTAGGACACGCAGAGCTCTGTGACCCCGGTAATGAGCCTGAAGTGCCGTCACCGCTCGTGCCCTCACTTGTTGTTTGTTGAGTTCTCAGCACTTCAGATCATGTCTCGCCGGGAGCTGTGTCCCGCTCACGCGGCAGCAGGCAGCCAGTCATCGCACGGAGCAGGGTTAAAACCCGCCCAGGACGAGCATTGCCCATCACACACACAGCGCTGCACGGGTGCGCCAGAGCCCCCTGGCCTGCCCCAAACGTCCCAGCTGAACCCCCCCAGCACCAACCGCTGTGGCGCGATTGTCCCCTAATGCCATTAATTTGCTTTCTGGTTTTATGTGAACCCGACAAGGGGAACTTGTCCCTGGCTTGGTTGCCAAAGTGTCCCAGGCGAACGCACTGCACGGTGTCAAATGATGCAGCAGTTGTGGAGCGTGTCAGACACGACGGGGTGGGAGCGGGGTGAGCTTCCCCTGGATGGGTCACCTCGAAACCTATACATTAAGTGCACAGCTCCCCAAGGCACCCCTGACCCGCCCGCGATGGGAGCGTGGAGCAGACGAGGCGTGGGCCGAGGTCCTGTTGGACCTGCACCGAAACGGGCAGCCTGGCGCGGGGCTGGGGGGCCTGGCTGCCATCGCGGGGAGATGCAGACCCCTCTAACAGCGCGTGAGCACACGCACGCACACACACGGATACAGACACGCTGACACACAGACCCATACACACGCGCGCGCACACACCGATACAGACACGCTGACACACAGACCCATACACACGCGCGCACGCACACCGATACAGACACGCTGACACACAGACCCATACACACGCGCGCACGCACACCGATACAGACACGCTGACACACAGACCCATACACACGCGCGCACGCACACCGATACAGACACGCTGACACACAGACCCATACACACGCGCGCACGCACACCGATACAGACACGCTGACACACAGACCCATACACACGCGCGCACGCACACCGATACAGACACGCTGACACACAGACCCATACACACGCGCGCACGCACACCGATACAGACACGCTGACACACAGACCCATACACACGCGCGCGC